ATTTTACTTGTCATGCTAGTGAAAAGACAGTAATTTGAATCCTGAAATAATGTTTTTAATCACTTGACAAAAATGACACTCACCTTAATTATAGAAAGGTTTCCACGTGAACACATTCCGTTGACACTCAAAATGAAAGCCAAATTAAAAGGTAGATTGTAGAATTAACAAAATTAAACTTGATATCTACTGTATATGTAATCCTTGACAATTTTTTTTTTTAATGTGAGCCCTGAGATGTCATTAAATATATTTGACAAAACATATTTAAAAAACCCACAACAGTTTAAACTACCAAAATGACAAAGAATAGTTTGCTTATCACTGTATAGTTAGGGACAGGTCACCTACTGTCATTTAAAAAATATTAATGGACAAATGTAACTGGACATACACAGGGAAGGAATTGTGGGTGAAGAAGCATGTTTTTGTTTTTAAATGACACTTATTTCAATGTTCAGATTATTCTCTTGCAGCTACTGAATTTGAGAACAATTACAAATAGCAACCCTCAGAAGTGGTATGGGCCTTTTGAATGCTACAGATGTAAGATTTAAGTAGTATTCTGCTGAAGCTTTAAAATTGATAACTGGATGCTTCTAGAGACCAGCCTTCCTGTGGGAATGGTCCTGGTTTCCCCTCCTGCCCCGTCTTCAAACTTGAAAGCAGAATTACTCTGAGCGTGTGGGTGAAGATTTGTCTTAAAGACGGGATGGAGGCAAAGTTCTGAAAGCTTGTCAGATAGATCAAGCAAAAAAAAAAAAAACTATTGAAGCTACTTGAAAGTATAGTAAGACATAGTTGTGTTTGTTACTGGAGTAAATTATTGCTGTTGTGGTTGGTACATTAAATCCTTGCCACGCTCCCATTGATTTGTCTGCAAAATACTTCAGCTAATTCATAACTAGTAAATTATATTATGCATAATTGCATGCATACTAAATTACAGTGGTATTTTTCTTCCTTTAAACTTTTGATTTAAGACTGCGTGGCCTTAGTACAGTTTCTAGGCAGTGAATCTCGTGAATTTACATGATGTGACCGTTCATACAGGAGCTTAAGTTGTGTAGTCAGTCTTAGCTCAGCATTGTTAGCCATGACAGTGTGCAACAGGGATCATCAAAATGCTGCATTAATTAGAAAGCAGAAGCCAAAGAAAGGAAAAGCAGATGTACATAAGAAAGCAAATTCTTTATGTACTAATTCTAGTATTTGGCTGTATACTGTGGAAAAAATATTCAGTGGGAAAAGGAGACAAAACCTAGTCAAAAAACCCCAACCAAACGGGTGTCATTGAGAAGTCTTATTATCTGTAACAGCCGAATCAAGCTCATGTGAATATTCACCTTGATGTGTCTCTTCTACCTGATGAGGCTCTTCATTGTGCTCTTTGGGCCAACAGGCAGCCCTTTGCTGCAATTGCAGTTTATTTTGCTAAAGCAGTTCCATACTGTGGGGAGAAAATTATTGTGTGTGAACATGATTCTACATCAGCCCCTTACTAATACTAATAATATGACCTTACTAATACACTGCAGAACTCTTTTTGAAGACTCGAGACATGAAAAGATAAGAAGTGGTGATGGTAGGGTGAAAATACGGCATCTGTAGTGATGGTAAGCAAAAGTGGTTAAAACTGATGAGGTGGAATGGTGATTCATCTTCCAGATGTGTGTATGGACACGATATATACCCATATGTGCCTACCGCAGGATTGAGGCCTATATTCTTTTTTAGCATTTAGGTAACTGTTCCTAGTTACTTGAAATTCAGTGAATAGTACGATGACAGTTCAGTTTGGAAGTTTGCCCTCCCAGCACAGGGCATGTCAGCTTCTTTTAAAGGGTTTGGATAGCTGCTACTTAAATACCAGCATTATACCATCTCTTCAGAAGACTGACTTGTTCTTTCTGTCAAGTGACAAGCATTCACCCTGCAGTTAAATTTAGTAAGGCTAGACACAGAGCTTCAGTAAATCTGTGGCTATTCTAAAAAATACTGTTAGAAATAAAACTTATTTGTAAGTAATGAGGTTTGAATTTAAATACCTGAGCTAGTTCCGCAGTACTGACCAGCTGCATGGTCATATATTTGTGTAACATTTGGACTTTTTTTTGCTTTTTATAGTTGATTTTTGACATGGTAAAGCAACTTTAAACAAAGTTTTCAATTTTGTCTGGGAGTCATACTGCTGAAGTCCTTTTGAAAAGTGTCAAGTTACGGGAAGCTTTATTTACAGTCAGCCTAAATGGAACCTTGCTGGTGATCAGATCTCTTTGAATGACTCAAAGTCTGTAAGATTATAAACCACTCATCTAAAGTGTACAAGAATTGGACCAGTATCTGTTGTACTTACTGCAGTGTACCAAGTTGTACGAGTTTTAAGAAATCCTATTAAAATACCAGATGAGATTTGAATCTCTGTAGCCATATGCTAAATTGCAAAACTAGAGCATAGGACAAAAGGTCATTGTTTATCTATTAGAGTTATAGAACTTTCTTTGTTAATTATGCATTCATCCAACTCTGAATATGCATCCTGCTATCTAGTTTAATTAAGTTTTGTTAAGTCATTTAGTGCACTTATATTTGAAGCTTAAACTTTTTTGAATAATGCTATTAAGCGTACTGATTTTTTGACAGAAAAAGACAGTGATTAAATGTGATCTGTGTGCGTATCTTCCTGTTGCTTTTAGTGCTCTGCAGAAGTGTTAAAATGTATTTCTGAGGGCATGAATATGAGGAATCTTTGTGTATTGAAATGTAAATGTATAATGAGAGCTTGTCTCTTTTTTAGTTAATTGTTGTATTTGTGCCAGTTTTTTTTAGATTGGTGTCCCCCTCCTTGTCTGTCTCCTCCCCACTCCCAAGCAGTTTATCTACTGCATTTACTTATAATAAATCAACAGTCTTGTACTCAGCTGTGGCCAATATTTTTTTTTTTTAATTATAGCACTGTTCTTCAGTGTTTTAGCTGTGTGGATTGTATGGTTAATATCATCTAATAAAGTGCTTCCTCAGCTTAAAGAGAAATGAATCACTTGCAATCTAGTTTTTTGAATTGCAGCACTTTAATTAAACATAAGTATGTGGACAAGTGTAATTTTTTCCAGCCTCAAACACCAAGAGAAAAACCAGTATAGCTTCTTCATCCATTGCTAAGAAACTTTAATGAGGAAGAAAGTAGGATTTCATCTCTATGTTCCATTAAACTTGTAATAAAATAGGAAGAATTAAATTATTCTGATTACAATTTGCATCTATGAAACAGTCTCTCCTTAGAGCTCTGATTTTGCTTTTGGGCAGACTGATGTCTTGCTCAGAAAAGAAAAGAAGCTGCTTTATGTAGGCGCCTTATTTTATATTATTGTTTATAGGAATTTTAGAAATTTTTTGTCAGGAAGTTGATTTTTCTGAATCCTATGCCTAAGATGGAAAGTTGAAATCTAATTAGTCCCTTTAGAGAAATAAGAGCTGTAGGCAAGCTTCCCCTGTCCTCTGTATTAAAAGCTAAAAAAGGGCTCTGTGCAAATATGGTGTTCGATCTCTGCTTGTTTTCTAAATGTCAAACTGCAAGACGAGTTTATTTAAATACTTTCTTAGTGTTACTTGTTGACATAGCAGTTGTCTGAGTTACCATCAGGGTGTCATTTGATCACTGGTAGGAAAGGTGTAAATTAGACAATAAAAAAAGAAAAGTTGAGAACCTTAGAGCTAGAACAGTTGTGGTGACCTATAAATACTTGTCAGCATTGGTTTCCCACTCCTGAGACTTGGCTGAAACATGCTTTCCATATAGAACTGGAGACTAGATTGAATTAAATTTATATAATCTTTGTTGACTGCATTGCAGTATTGTGAAGGTCTAAAACTGTTGTAGGTCAGTTCAATCAGGTTTCCACTGCCTTGCTTTTTAGATTACTCTGCATATATGTACATATATGTACATACACACATCTACCCATCTAGATAGATCAAGTGTGTGTGTATATATGTGTATATGAACGCGCTTATACTGTAACCTGCATGGGCACAATAACATGAGTCATACTCCAGGGGAATCCACCAGCAGACGTGAAGTTTTTCCTGCTGCACTGTGTAAGCCATCAGCCCCCAAATCCCACCAGCCCCACAGATGCTTTTGAGGTTGACTTTAGCTGCACCATGGGCTTTCCAAACAACCCTTGTCTCCCTCCACTGCTGAAGTGTGAGTCCTGCCTGCTAAGCCAGATCTCTTCTAGGAACATGATAATGCCTGCCTGGAGAAAACGTTAATCTGGGTTCTCTCTTTTTATATATTAAATTTCCTGATTTTAAAACAGAATTGTATTTAGATTTTTCAAAAAATTGTTTGAGTGTTCATGATTTCTGTGGTAAGAATGGTTGGAAGAAGTAATTAGTTTCTTAAGTTTCCCTGTCTTTTATTTAAAGGGAAGAGTAAACATAAACTTGCACCAAATATTTGGTGCACCTGCTGACTTGTGTGTGATGACTGGAGAAAGGGATGCTTTTTTGGTCTTGCAGCCGCTTTGATGTAGGGAAGATATGGTGTTGCTTGCTGTGGAAAATTACACATCTAGTTGTGTAAAATGAGGTTATATTAATCTCTCCCTGTTCTGCTACAAAACCTGCATTTTTCTTGGAAGTAGTGGAGAATTTCACAGGGGGGGAAAAGGAGAACTCAAGAAACAGAAAAGCACGAAATAAGAATAGAGAAGAAAAAGAAATGACACTTTAAGGGATGATAGCTGCATCTGAAGTGAGATATGAGTAATAATATTTGAAAGAAAAATGCTCTGATGTTGGGTAAACTGGACTACTAGCCCACAATATAACTTTTAAAAAATTAAGATAACTTTTATTTCATTAAGGAAAACTTACTTTGTATCTAGTTAAAATGTATCAAGCTTTGTAGAAAGCTAAAAATATTGCTTTGGAGACTTAAAGTTGTACAAATATCGTATTAATTATTCCTTTTCTATGTGTTCTTGTTTACAGACCAGTCTTTCCATATGGGGATGGGGAAGTCTTGGCGTTGTGCTTTTTCTAGTAACTTTTGGACCCTTCGCTATATTTTACTTTGCATTTTATATCCTCTGCTTTGTGGGTGGGTAAGTATACTACTTAATGTTGTGTATAATTTACTATGGAAGGAAAATTTTAATGTGTATATTAGCAAATCGTTTGCTCTGAAAATCTAAAGCGACTTGTATGTAATGAATATTTCCACATTTGAGCAGCTCTTTGAGCCAAGTTTTTTTTCTTGAAATCTCAATTTTGTCAAAATATTTTTTTTCTGCTATGGAATAGTGCCTGTGCTACCTTTGCCTAAGCAAAAAAAAAATAATTTCTGATTTAAAAAAAAAAGTAGCTATTTATAATGAGTGGAGGACAAATACTCACATAAAACCAGTGTTAACTTGAGTTCATACTTTCTATTCCCTTGTCTATTCTTTTGGTAGGTACTTTCTAAGTAATTATGTCCCCTTTCCTTATCACAGTCTAATTTTCCTGTCCAAGATTCTTCATTCATGAGGAAAGTGAGTGGGTGTTTTCCTGGGTGTGTGGAAATGTTACTACATCTTGCTACATCTTGAACAAGTAGATCGGCTCAGCAGCTGTAGATGTTTCATACTTTATCTGTAGACAGGAAGGGAGCAAACAGGTGAAGTTTTTATAGTATTTAGCACCATTATTACATTGTAGATTATGATGTCTGCCTTGTAATCATTAAAACTTCTATGTTTAATGTGAAGTCTGAATGTGTTAGTGGGATATTTCTCATTCATGAGATTAATCTACAGGACAGTAACATTTCTAGGCTCTCCAAGACCTGCTTGGCTTCTAATGGGGTGCTTGGGCTATCTTTAATACTTTTTTGCCTTCCTTTGAAACACCCTTTTATATTTCTTATTGGATACAGTGCAGAATGTGTGTATATTCCTGTATGTCTCATCAAAAAATGTAATAGAGTTTAGTGGCTAGAATTAGAGTGGCTACGCATGGGTTTTAGCTGTATTAAACTTGGAATTCCATCTCTGAGAAAGCAGAATAGTCAGTCTACTAGAACGAGGATTCAGTTACAGTAAAACTAACATTTAAGTGAATGCTTTTGTCTTGATACATTTATATTTTGCTGGTTGTTTGTCCAGGGCAAAAGACAGAGTTCGTCCAAAGGGCAAGAGTTTGTCCATTTACCGTTTGTATTACCACTTCCTTAGTGTTTGCAGTATGAAAAATAATGTGGGATATAATAATTTCTTAAAAGATGATCCTTCCTTCTTGCTCAATTTCAGTTGCTTGGCTTTTCAAAGCTAACAGTCGAAGCAGTCTCTCATGGAGTGTGTCTGAGGTCAGCTACAGTTTGCCTCTGTGAGGCTGCCTCTGACGCCTGAGCTCACTCGTTCTCAAGTCAGCTCTGATACCTCTTTGCTGTGATTCTTTTGCTGCTTTGGTTCATTTTTGTAGCTAGTCTGTGAACATTGATCTGCTTAAGAAAAAATTAATCTTGTGGGAGTGTATCTGTTAAAGCAGAATTTATATACGTCTTCCTGTTGTGTGTTTACTTACGTAGATAGATATGAAGTCTCAGCCTTTCCAGTAGGATGTCATTACTTCATTACTTTAACATATACATCTTCTTGGCTAAAGCTGTGATCTAGCCCTTTTTTACACTGTTAATCTGAAACTGTCTTGATTTCACTGGGATGGAATCACAGAATCAATTTTCTGTTCAGAGAAGCTACATTTCTAAAGTAAGCTGCATTTTTAAAAAGGCTGCAGCACCCAATTCAGTGATAACAAAATTGATAAGACACTTTGTTTTATTATGTAGCCAGCAGGTATCTGTAGTGCTCAAGAACTTTTCAACTTATTTTTGATAATGACCCAGATGTCCAAGAACCTGAGGGAGCATGGCCAGGGTGACTGACACCTAAATTGGCAAATGGGTATTCCATACTATGTAATGTCATGCTCACTATAAATTGGAAACTTTGTGGGAGACGGGCTTGCTCTTGCTTTCCTCTCTTCCTTGACGGTCACTGTCCCTGGAGAGTTTCACCTGTCATTCTGCTCCCAAGGTCTTCTCTCTCTCTCCCTCTCCCCGCCCCTGCCCCGGGATTGCAGTTTTGGGACTTTCGCACTCTGGGATTGCTGGCCAGGAATGGGCTAGACATTGGTCAAGGGTTGGTGAGCAGCTGCACTGTGCATCACTTGTCTATATATATTATTACTATCATTACTATTTTCCTTTTAATTTTATTTTAATTACTAAATAGGTAACCCATAGGTCTTCCTTCCTTGTCCTGATTCCACTCCGAGTGAGCAGAGATCATTAGGTAATAGAACAGCTGGCTATTTTTTAGCCCCAGATACAGGCTAAACGTAGGCACACACCTAGTTTAAATTTTAACATTCAGCATACAGATTTGTGAGTGCAATTATATGTCATAAGATCATTTACGTAAATTAAGAATATAAAAATGTAGTTTTGGTTCATGATTATAATATTTTCCTTAATACTTACTGTACCCTTATCCGGAGCAAAATAACAGTTTTGGACATGGATTTTTGTGGTAGAACTTTATGTTGAAAATTGGAGTTCTTGCCCAATTTGTCACGCAGTTTTCAAACTTTTTATACTTGCTCACAAACAGTGACCTGTATCCATAGTTTCTGACTTCCATTAGCCCGGAGTTCACTTCTGTCCTGTTTTGCACTTCTAACAAAAGAAAGTGTTGAATCGTAGCCGGTTGCACCCTTAGTATTGACCTAAATGTTTAAAGTATGTGCCAGTGAGTTGTGAAGGAAGACAATGTGGATACCATGGCTGTATCAACATAACTGATCTGGTCATCAGTTTCACTTCCGTTACATGCTATTTAATAATTTCTTTTTGATTTACTCTTAACTGTTTTTCTCGCACAGATAGCTTGAAGTAAGTGTACTGCTGTGTGCATGGAAGGATACTGAAACCAGTTGTGTGTGTGAATAAAAGCTTTAAATCAGAAGCTGTCTTCATTTAGATTTGTTTTGCTTCAAGGCTGATTTATAAAATAGTAGCTTTTTTCTGTTTTATAGTACATGCGTCTTCAATTTGAGAACTGGTAACACATGGCTTAGGGAACTGAGCGCTTTCCACCAAAAGCAGGAGGCAAAAGATACCTTGTTTTTAACCTCTGTAGCCAAGACTATTATAAGGTGTTAATGAAATATTTTTTGCCTCTACTTCAAATATTGGTGCAAACCCCTTAACCTCAATGCTGGACCTGTCTTACTGTCTGCTTGTTCTTTGTACCATGTATATTTCTTGTATTACTCTCTTCTTTACCTTTTTCAATCTTAAGGAAGTAGACTAGAAACAATGTGAATTGTGGCTCTGCCAACAGCCTTAGGCTTCCAGAGCTGTGAGAACTGAAATTTCTTGGACTGTCAGTTGCTTTGCTGTTTAAAGGAATTTGCTGTATTGTCAAAAAAATGTAATTATTGATAGTTTATCGCATCCATACGTATGTGACTGGCTGCCTACACTGATGATTCTGACTGCTGACCAAATCAGGAACTGTTCTGAAGCTGCTTTTTGACTTTCATGAAGCATTTAGCTAAGGCTGTTACTTTTCAGACTGGATAGAATGGTAAATCTGTAGACTTCATTTTTCTGTCACCTTTGTTCTGTTGTTAAATCTGTCCCTCTGAAAAGTTGGTCTTCCAATAGCTTTTGGAAAAACTTAACAACAAAAAATTAAGTAAAATACAATCTTTTCCTGCTCTATTCATTTAGAGAAAAGACTAAAATGATTTCTCACTTACTGTGCTGAATATCCTCTTGATGAATTAGATGAGCATTTGCATCAAATGATCAGGCAATCTATACCTCTCTAATGCGCACAAGATTTTAAATTAGAGATTAAAATCTGTTTCTGCTGTAGAGGCAGAAGCTTCTAGCATTTCTAGCTTAAAAATGAAAATCCTTAGAGGCATCTAGGAAAAGGAGCATATACTTCAATTATTTTGGTAGCATATTAGTATTTTTTAATAAGTCATTAACTTTAGAAATGTCAAAACATTTGAGAGAAAACAGAAGTATAATCTATAGCTAGTTATTTACAAAATATCAATCCTTTTGAATAAAAGAAAGGAAGGACCTCTTCCCTCCCGACCCACCCCTGCCAAGTTGCTAATACATGTTTGACATTAAAACTGGTTTTTGACAAAAAAAACCCCACAGTTTGGGGATACTGTTTTCTTTAAATGAAGACTGAGGTTTCTAATAGGAAAGTGGTAGGTAATAAAAAGAAACCCCAAACTGTTTAATAATTAAAAAAAACCCCAGCAAAACACCTCCCTTCCCAAACCAAAACGTTAGTTAACTTTTAGGCAATGTGAAACTAATACTGAATTTTTTTCTAAGCAAGTTTTGGTCCTTAAACTGAATTATGATGCTACTAGAACCATTGTTGTTATGATTTTAAAGCTGTCTGGAAATTTCTGGAACAGAAGAGTAATTAAACCTGCTTTTATTTTTTGTCCTTATATGGAGAAAGTACATGTAAAGATGGCTGTAAGAGAACCGAATTATCAAGTGAAATTTTCTTAGGCATTTTCAAGTTACTGATAATAATTTTGTGTAGTGCTTTTTTTTTTTGGAGTTGTTCAAGTATAAATGACCGGATCTCTGCTTCTGAATTACTGAGCCTCTGGAGTACTTAAAAAGAATGGTTCCCAGTTTGGGAATTAAGACCTTCAAATGGCGTATTTTACTTTGGTTAAGAATTTTATTCTAATCATATAAAAGCAACAGCAATCTATATTAATAGTGACTTCCTGTGGTCACAAATATTGGCCAGCTGGCCTTTAGAATGAATGCTTTGAAATTTATGTTAAAAGCTACGCGTGCTTAGTCATGCCAAGGCTAGTCTGAGCAGCAGTAACTTCATGTTCTCTTTTTTTTAATGCTTGTTTTAATGCTTGACTTTTCAAAGGCCACATACTTTGGTTATGCTGTAATTGGCACAGCCTTTAGGTTTTCATCTATTACTTAGTAAAACCAGCTTTATGTGTTTTTGTGCCCTTATGTCATAAGCTGTAAGTAAATTATTGCTGTTGTAGCAAGGTTGGTAATGTAAGTAATGGTTGGTTTTTCCCTTATGCCTTCATTATATAAAGAAAATAATAATAAAATTAACTGCTGTTCTGCTTAACTGTAAGTCATAATTTAAATATCATTGTAGAATTGTGGGGGAAGAAGATAATGAATTTCTTATATAATGCACTAAATGGTCCAGGAGTGCATCTATTTAGATTTTATATGCTGAATTAATTAAAAACAAAATAACAGCAAACCCCCCCAAAAAAACCCAAAAATTAACACCCTAAAGAAAAATCACAACCCCAAAAAATCCCAACACCTTGTGTTTGACTTCACTTACCCCCTAGACTTTTTCCTGGACTCTGTTCTTATGCAGCTTGTCAGGACTACTGTGGGGTTTTTTTTTTGTTTTTTTTTTTTTTTCGTTCCAGCTTAAAATGAGTTCCCAGTTGAAATTTTTTTACTTCTTGTTTAAACATAAGCAGTTGGTAGTTACGTACTACACTTACTACATCAGTTTCTTCCTGTTTTGTGTTTTTGTGGCTTATGCCACAATGCAGTGGCCTAAATGTATGTCTACAGAGTATATTTCTTCATAGTGTTGAAGTAAAAGAATCTTTGTATCAGTACTGCCAGAGCAGCTTATCTATGTACCCCTCTTTCACAGGTTCTTCTCATGCAGTAGACTGTGTGGTATAGACTGTGCTATATAGATCCACTGTGTGATAGGAATACAGCAAGACTGATAAGAGAAGACTGAGAAACTTCATACTCAGTATTGTGGCAGTTATTTTGGGCAGCATGCTACACTGTGAAAGAGCACTGTACTAGGAGAGTGAACAGTGAGAATTAGCATATATTGTCATTTTATAACTTACTGTGAAATATTTTCTAGAAGAAGAGGAAAAGATGACTATTGTTCTAACTGGTCTGTCTTTTTCCATTTTAGGGGTTTTGTGGTTACTCTTTTATTTGGAAAAAGCAACTCAGAAAAATACCTTGAGCAGTGTGAACATTCGTTTCTTCCTTGTACATCAGTTGGGATCCCTAAGGTAAGGAGAGTTTACTGGTCTTAACTTCTAGATCAGGTTTTATAACTTTGAAAATTAGAGTAACACTAACAATCAGTTTTTCAAGGTTAGAGAGCCTGTTCTTATGTTTTGAGTCAGCTGCAATGTGGAAGTGAAATGCAAGATTTTTCCTTTTTGAAATACAAGCTTTTTAAGCATTTATGGAAAGTTCGTTTCAAGTATTGTTTCTGGCTTTATTTTGAGAAAGGAGTAAGACGTAACTGGCTAATATTATCTGTGACAGAATTACTAAACCATTTCTTTCTAGACTCCTTGTGTGTGGTGTTTTTTTTTTCGGAGGTAGTGGTAGCTCCTTCTTGCTTTTTCTTGGAAGATTGTCATGACTGTTTAGGATTCTTCTGTCACTGGATCTGTAGTCTCTCCAGATATGATACTTTTGATTGTTTGTGGTCAGAAAGTTGCTTGCCTAAGAAGATTAAACTGTTAATAAAGTCTAAACTTACAGTACTTCAGGGATGGAGGAGTTATCTTTGACTGTCTTTAAGACCAAGCAATAACACTGGAAATGCATACATAAATGTGGAGCAGCAGTGGAATCCCCTTTTCAACTCTTTTCTTTTTTTTCTGAATTGTTAACAGACACAGCATTTTGGTTGATGGACCTAAATTCAGAGTTCCTAATTGGATAAATCTACATCTGTGTAGTACAGAAGAAATTCTTAATAGCCAAGAGGTAGAATTTCTAGGAATTCCTGGTTTATGAACTAATATATCTTGGCAGCTCAGAAATTTAGATGTATCTTGGCCTGATGTGTTTGTGCTCATAGGAATGAAAACTTTGACTGAAACATCCTGCCCTTTCTTAGCTGTCAGGTCACTACACTTCATGATGTCTTTGAAAAGGGATGCGTTCAACTTTCTTATCAGTAGCACATAAAAAGAAATTTATTTTGTGATTCAGCGGTGTGTTTTCTAATCACAGAACTTACTGTGTGACTGGTTCTCAGTTGTTAAGTGGTCTTTTCGCTTAAGTCTCTTTGTCTCTGTTGAGATAAATCTGCCACTTCAGTGTGTTCTAAACCGTAAAGTCAAGTCATTGGTCCAAATAAAAAATGTGAAGTTTAAGGCCGGAAAATGGCAAGTCAGCAATCAAATAATGATTCTGTTCCATTAACGAAACCTCATTTCAGGGGACTAAGGTTCTTGGTGCAATATAGACTTTAGTGTTTATAATATGTGTATTGTGGAATGTTGCTGGTGTGTTGTGTTTTGAGAGCAGATTTACAAGAAGTTTTTCTGTCTTTTAAATTCTACATTGCTGAAGCTTTTTTTTATGTTAATGTTACTACTTCGAGCTCATTACATATGTATGCTCTCTGTTTGCTTTCTAAAAGAATAAAATGTGGGATTTTTTTTCCATAATTCTTGCAAATTCACTAGTTTGACTTCCAATTTGAGCTTGGTTTATTGACACATCACTTTTCTCAACTGACCTGTCTTGACTAACCTCTGGATTTAATTTTTGTAGTATGAAAGTATTATTTTTATCTGGCTTACCAAATGCTGTGTGAAGTTGTTCTCCATCTAAAATCTGTGTATCTTCTACAATAGTATTTTGTATTTTTTTTTTGCTGCTGCATTAAAATAACATTAACTAGTTTAGCTGAGCTTTTTCAGTAGTAGTGCAAGAAGAGATGAGAAATGAATCCTAATCAAAACCAAATGTGTGGTTGGCTTGGGTTTGTATTTGCCGTTTCTGTATTAAATTTCTGCTGACTTGATCTTTACTAAAAAGTAGTATTTTTAACTCGAAGTTGTTTTCATGTTTGAAACCATTGTGGCCCTAAGTGGTCTTGAACAATGAATGTTGTTTCAAGTGGCTAAGTGTATAGGTTATGCTTCTTCCATGAACCAAGTACAAACTGAATTAACCTCAGTATTAAATTCTTTTGTGATACTGTATTTTGAGAAGAAATCTGATGATTTAGGTTCTTTTTAAGAAACTCTTCTCCAAAGGCAATCAGAGTTTTATTGGTTTTTTTTTTTGTTTGTTTGTTTGTTTTTTTTATTGTTGTTGTTTGGGGATTTTTTTTTTTTTAGGCCAAGATGAATGTTCAGATGCTTGACTTTTTAAGAAATTAGTTATAATTCAGAGCACCAAAATTGTGGATGACAATAATGTGTAGAATGTATGAGACTCTAAGTTGCGACACAGGATTTGGTGCAGATAGGTTTCCTTGGTTGCTACTTATTATACTTATTAGTAAATATATATTGAATGCTTCACATTAAGGAGAAATAATTATGTAAGTTTGATGGAAGATTATTTACCTTTCTGCTATTTTTTTTTGCTTGCGTACATACAGGGACGTTTACAAATTAGGATTAGACTTGCTTTTCCTTTTGGAAGTCTGTTTTATAAAACTTCGGTGTCAGGAATGTACTTGATGATGCCATAATGTACTGGCTCTGTAAGATAACACAGCTGTGTATCGTTAAGTGTATGAGAGATACTTAAGGACAGTCATGTAGAATGCAAACACTGAACATGAGGTTTATAGTTTTTTCGTTTATGGTTTTTGGCAGTTCTGTGTTTCTGCTAGTCATAACTTTCTCACTAGATAGAAGAGTAAAATAACTGGATTTTTTTTTTTGAACAATAGTGTAGACTGTTGCATTATTCTTTCTGTGAAAATAAAGGGGTTTATTCCAGATTTCATCCTAAGTTTGTAGAAAGACACTATATTAGTCCATTGAGAGAAGCACTGATAAGGGGTATTCTTTTTCAGTATGTTGCTTAATTCCTGGAGTTAATGGCTCTGAGTTGCAAGTCCTATAAAACAATTTTTTACCCCCTCATCAATTACTTTTAAAGACTCATCTGTCAAGTAGCAATGGTGAAAAAGAGTGATTTCTCTTCTGGCATATTGAATAAACCAAGATCATAGAATCATAGAATGGTTAGGGTTGGAAGGGACCTCAAAGATCTTCTAGTTCCAACCCCCTGCCATGGGCAGGGAAATCCTCCACTACACCAGGTTGCCCAAAGCCTCATCCAACCTGGCCTTGAACACCTCCAGGGATGGGGCATCCACAACTTCTCTGAGCAACCTGTTCCAGTACCTCACCACCCTCAATGTAAAGAATTTCTTTGTTGTATCTAACCTAAATCTGCCCTCTTTCAGTTTAAATCCATTGCCCCTTGTCCTATCGCTACACACCCTTGTAAAAAGTCCCTCTCCAGCTTTCCTGTAGGCCCCCTTTAGGTACTGGAAAGCTGCTATAAGATCACCCCGGAGCCTTCTCTTCTCCAGGCTGAACAGCCCCAACTCTCTCAGACTGTCTTCGTAGCAGAGGTGCTCCAGCCCTCTTATCATCTTCGTGGCCCTCCTCTGGACTCGTTCTAGTAGCTCCATGTCCTTCTTGTGTTGGGGACTCCAGAGCTGAACACAGTATTTCAGGTGGGGTCTCACGAGAGCTGAGTAGAGGGGCAGAATCACTTCCCTCAACCTGCTGGCCACGCTCCTTTTGATACAGCCCAGGATATGGTTGGCTTTCTGGGCTGCCGGCGCACCTTGCCGGCTCATGTTGAGTTTTTCATTCACCAGCACTCCCAAGTCCTTTTCCTCAGGGCTGCTCTCAATCCATTCTCCTCCCAGCCTGTGCTTGTGCTTGGTATTGCCCCGACCCACGTGCAGGACCTTGCACTTGGCCTTGTTGAACTTCATGAGGTTCTCACAGGCCCATCTCTCCAGCCTGTCAAGGTCCCTCTGGATGGCATCCCTTCCCTCCAGCGTGTCCACAACACCACACAACTTGGTGTCATCAGATGGATAAAGAAACTGAGAAGAAAAAAAAAACAAAACAAACCAGCTGAACAGTTACCTGCCTGAGGTTGCACAAAAAGTTTATGATCAAATATGGAACTGGAGTTCTGCCCACAGACTACCTTGTGCTGCTGTTGTCTCACCTCCCTCCTTTTATAACTATTTGAGTTTTATTTCCTTCTGATCTAGTATTTTAGCAACCTTGCTCCTTTACAGTAAGCAAGAAGTAGGTTTTCAGGTTAGTTCCTCACCTCATTATTTACTATATAGTGAAAATTACAGATATTATTGTTGCCCAGAGAGGTTGTAGATGCTCCATCCCTGGAAGCGTTCAAGGTCAGGTTAGACAGGACTCAGAGCAACCTGATCTAGTTAAAGATGTCCCAGCTCATTGTAGGAGGGTTGAACTAAGATGACCATTAACAGTCCCTTCTAATCCGAACCATTCTATAATTCTAAGATTATATTTTATCTACTGTAGAATAACAGGGAAAATGTTGTGTAAATTTGTTACTGGAAGTACACAGATATCATGAACACTAGAGCTGATTTTTAATTTTAGCCAAAACCTGCAAAGTTATACTTCCTATTCTTTTTGAAGTGCATAGAAGAAATGAAACGTGAAGCCAGACCTATTAAGATTGACAGAAGACTGACAGGTGCAAATATAATTGATGAGCCTTTGCAACAGGTAAGTTCTAACCAGGACTCTAAGTTATTTTCATTTTTGCAAGTACTGACTGTAATATCTAAGTAGTTGAGAGATAAATAGAAGTTGAGGAATTTTGTCATATTTGAGAGTGGTAAGTGAAAAAAACATTGAGGATGGCCCAGGATATTTGGCAATGTTTGAGTCTGTTTTCTGTGTATTAAAGTTTCTCACCATCGTGGTGATGAATGCATGTAAACCAATATGAGAGAGAGGTTCAGTATGTGTATTATGTTGTTTCACTCACAGTTTCATGATGGTAGGGCAAGTATGGTTCACTGTGTTAACCTTTTAAGAAGACTACTGTTGCATTATCAGCCACAAAAAGCTGTTTTATATTTTGTTGTCTTTAGTTCAGCTTTCTTTCTTCTTTTCCAATTTCAGGTAATCCAGTTCTCCCTGAGAGACTATGTGCAGTATTGGTATTACACACTAAGTGATGATGAATCGTTTCTTCTGGAAATCAGGCAGGCTCTGCAGTATGCACTTGTTCAGTTTTCTGCCAGGTAGGATTATTTGTGTTTACATCAATACACTGTCTAAGCAAGTAGACAGATACCTCTGTGGGTTGTGTGGTAGTAGATAAATGATAAAGTTTATCTATTGGCCTAATTCTTTGCATTCTGCAGAAAGAACATGTAAAATTTTGGGATCATAATCTAAGAACTACAGTCTTTTGCTGATCCCTTAAGGAATGATCAGAGATAATGCTTGTAGTCATGGTCTTTTGCAAAATAGCCTTTTCAAAATTTTGATTAATGTCTAAAATTACTGAGTAGCTGTTTTCTGCAACTTAAGCATTGAGCTGCATGAATCATCACCACCTCATATGCAGGGCTTTTATGTTTCCCAACGTAAGTCAATCTGAAAGCCTTCAACTCAAGTATCTGTATCAGATCAGATCACTTTTAAAAGTGGTCTTGCTCTTCAGTATGTAAGAACAATGAACATTTTCAAAGGAGTAGTAATCTAGGGAACAAAATGATGTCACATGTAATCCTTTTTAAAAAATAGTTATTTGGTTCAGAACAAATGGATAGTTTGTTAATGGTCCCATGTTTTTTCTGCTGTTGCTTAATCAAGTAGCAGGAAATCAGGGAACTTGGCTGGGAAATTCTTTATCTTCTTTAGTATGTTGGATTTCTTAGCCAAGATACCACGTACCTTTATATCCAGCTTCTTTATTAAGTAATGATTTCAGATATTTATCTCACTGTGCTGTTTGTTACCCGTTTTCAGAAGAGATTGTGGGTCACCTCAGTATGATAAACTTCTTTGTGGTTTTGAGGTGTTGTTATCCCTTTGCTCTTTTGACTTGAAAATGCAAGTCGGTGTGCTTTTCTGGCAAGAAAGGTCAAAGATGGAGAGCTAGGTTTAATCTTAAGAAAAATTCATTATAAGGAAATCTTAATTGATTGTGAAATAACAGAATTCCTAGGAAACAGTGTTGGAAATAATGAAAACATGACAGCAAGGAATCCTGTACTTACATGAAATGGACCTGGCTGCCCAGCTGTGGTGGTTTTGTCAATTTGGTGAAGCTACTTCATTGAACAGAATCAAGCACAGGGTTTGGTGTGTGTGGTTCCCCCCCTTCCCCCCTCCCCGGCTTGAATGTTGTGTGTTTGAAATAATGATGTAAGGCTGCCACCTAGTGTATTTCTGGGATTTGTTGATTGTGCAGATGGTGAAGTGCAGCTCCACTTATTTCCACACAAAGATTTTGCAGACTTCCCTCTCTGAGTTCCTTATTCTTTTATCTCTTTTTGAGGGGAAATAAGAGCAGGTGAGGGAATAAACACAAAAATGAAATGGTGTAGAAGGGTTCTGCTATAGCAAAGTATATCTTTTTCATACGACTAATGAAATGGTTTTATGCAAATCTAACAGTGACTATTTTCTGACGCAAATCTATGTGCATTGTTGGAGATTCGCACTAACAACCTCTCATATAAGCTCTGGAATCAGTTGTTGATAATACGAGATTGCTTGTAGTTTCAAAGAAAACGTATGTTTTCTCACTCATGCATATACTGCAAGTTCAGAAGAAAATTCTTCTATTTAGGTGCCTTCCAGAAGGACAGAAAGTATGACTGGAAGAGACCTGGGGAGTATTTTAGTTTTAGGTTGTAGATGCTCATAAACTGTTTATATCAGGGTTTTTTACAGATATTTGACAATATCATGAATCAGAACACTATTTCCAGATATTAATGTTGACCTTAAAGTAAATAAAGCATAAATATTAATGTTGTACGAGAGGGGTGTTTTACAATATTTTTTGTTTTCAGTGACTCGGTGGTTAGGAGACTGATTTACTTCTTTGCTTTTCCATGTTTACTATCAGTGTGTTTCTTGGCAGCGATGAAGGAGAAGTAGAAATTTATTATTGCTCATTGTATTCAGGCTAAAATAATTAATTTTCATGGATATTCTTTTCTGATAGGTCAAAGGAAACAGACTGGCAGCCTTATTTCACAACACGACTTGTTGATGACTTTGGCACTCATCTTCGAGTTTTCAGAAAAGCTCAGCAAAGAATAGCAGAGAAAGGCGATCAGATGAAAGGTAATCTAATGATCTAAATATTTTTTTACTTTAACTCTGAGTAGGCAGGTATCTTACATGTGTGAAATATAATTAGCTTTATTTTATAATTCAAGTTTACTCTCAAGTTTCTGATCTTTACAAAAAAGTATGTTTATTTTTATTTTCTTTTGTATAGATCAAGCTGAGGAACTTGTAGATACATTCTTTGAGGTTGAAGTTGAAATGGAAAAAGAAGTCTGTCGTGATCTAGTCTGCACTTCTCCCAAAGATGAAGAAGGTCTCTCAATATTATCTTCTGAAGTTATTTCAGTATATATAGCAGACTAAATTAAAATACTAACAATTGTGTTAACAATATGAAATACACTGAAATCTTAGCACGCGACTTTTAAAGGTGTGCTATCATTAGGTACAAATGTAGCTATTCGTCTTTTCACTGGAAGATTTTTAAGGTAGAAATATATTTTCTGAGGGGCAGGGGATGGCTTTGCAGATTGTTACTGCTTTTTGTTAGAGCTGACTTCCTTATTGCTAATCCATAGTCTTCATTATAAAAATAAATTTATCTTTTTGGGCAAAATGTGAAGGAGGAGGAAAAAGCCCTTGTATGTGTTAAATGTGGAAAATACATTGGAGTTTTTTGGTTCTTGGAATTTGACTTTCTTTTGTCTTGGTTTTGAGACCCTAGATGTGTCTCAAGTTTACATCAATGCTGCTTATATTTGGTCTGAAAGGTGTTAGCGTGATACTTGGACTATAAGAATATATATGACTATATATTTGAATTTCATTTTAAGGATTTATCGGTTGGTTTTTATGGTATAAGATGTGAAACAACATAATAGGAAATTGTGCTGAGGGTTTTTTGGGTTTTGTGAGTTTTTGATGTATTTCGTTCTCTTTATTTTGTTCTCCCTCCCTAGGATTCCTAAGGGATCTGTGTGAGGTTTTACTGTATATATTGCTACCTCCTGGAGACTTCCAGAACAAGATCATGCGATACTTTGTCAGGGTAGGTGTGGACTCTAGAAGCTATCCCAATTCTTTGGTTTAGTGCCATCAAAAATTTTAGATCTGAGCTGCTCTTCTTACTTTATTTTGTAAAACTAATCTCATTTAATATTAGGTTATTTAAAATTCAATACAATCTTGAAAACTATTTAATAGCAGAGAACAGTTTGTGTGAAACGTTTTTGAAGTTTCTTTTAACTCTAGCAACATTAGAAAAGCATGATATAATGGAGGTCGTTTTTCTTGAGATATTAATATCTTATACTTTTAATTGGAAGGGAATGTGCTAGTGCCTTTTGAATGTTTTCTGTAGTTACACGTTTTTTTATTTGTGATTTTTAAATTGTTGCAGTTGTATTAGCTTTATGGATAAATGTATAAAAATTATTTATTATATTTTGTTTTTCAGGAAATCCTCTCCCGAGGAATTCTTCTTCCATTAATAAACCAGCTCAGTGATCCTGATTATATTAATCAGTATGTCATATGGATGGTAAGACTTATTATGTTTAAAAGGAATGATATTTCCAGAATATGTTCATATAAAGCTTTAGTCGTGTTTCCTGTAATCGCGACAGATAGGTATCTAGTAGAAAAGTTACAAATGAATGTATTGGCAGAGATAGTGAACTTCTTGCTGCTGTACCAAATTTTTTTTTTTATATATATAAATATATATGTGTATACACACACGCATACACACTCTTATCTGTATTATCTGTACTCTGTGATGTGGTTATTCAGCAAAAGTTGGCTGGCTAAGGACAGGTGTATGGCAAAGTGTAAAGCTGAGTCCTCTCGCTGTTTTACTTAGCTGTTTAGGAAGTATGGCAGTAACCTCGGAAGTTTTTTTTTCCTTGACCCTTTTTCAGTGTCCTTTAAGCTTAAGAGGCCTCCAGAATTAAAAGTAGTAAGATTTTTTTTTTTTTCCCCTCTGCTAAGGAAGCTCAGGGTGGGTTTTTTAGGGATATTTGTGGTAATCTCTTAATAATTTAACTGAGTGGGAAGAAACAAAGTCTTTACTTCAGTATTTTTGCAAAACAAGTTGAAACTTACTCTTATAGTCCTTTGTAGGTCATGAGTCAAGTTTTTTTTTTTTCCTTTCCCCACATTCTCTCTGCACTTATCCATATATTTTAGTGTCAGAGTCTACATTTAAGTACTACGCTGAAAACACCCTCAGAGTTAACAGTAAAGATTCTTATGTATGGAATGAACTCAAGTGTACCTGTACAATGTTTCAGTCACTCCAGCCACCTCCATTTTATGTAAAAGCTTTGCATGCTGCTTTTCTTACAGGAGCCTGGCTTTGATATGAGAAAGTACTGCTGCTCATATGGACCAAGCTTTTCAATTTTTGTTTCCCCTTTCCTCCTACGCGTGTTCTTTATTTGTAACTTGGCCTCATTCTTTATTTACTGAGCACTGCCCCCGACTGCATCCAAAGATAGAATTCTGAGGTTTCTTGTAAAGCTTTCTGTTATGATGGTGATGTCCCAAATATTAATTTTCGTAATTGCTTTCTGAGATGAGGAAGTAAATGTGCTGGGGGAAAGATAAGGAAGAATAAATGCCTTCAAAAATTTAACACAAGTCTTATGAAATGAAGATTGTTGCAGAAATTAAGGTCAAAAGTAGCGATGACTCTAATTCCAGTTCATTTTGAAACCTTTGACATAAAATCAGATTTCAATGAAAAAGACTTGATTTCTGAAAACGAGAAGTGTATTTCCCATGTTTCTAGGCACACCTTAGTTCAATTCTTATTCTCTTGCAATAAAATGCAAAGCTTCAATATAAAATTAGAAGTTAATTCAAACTTGTCTCTTCACTGTGAAATTCACATTTTTACAGAATGTTTGAAGTTCAAGTACTTTTTGTTTTTTAAAAGCAGATTTCTAGGAAGATTTCCCACTAACTTTGGTTGAAGGTGTCCATTCTTCATTCTCTGCTTGTGCAACTCATATCAGTGCACTTCTGCAGTAGAGACCAAGTGCTACATTAGCATATCAAAATGAGCATTTATGGAGGATGTGGATGAAGTGATGTTTTTTGGCTTCAAACAGTAAAGACAGCACTAGAACTCAACCCTCTGCACCTGCATGCACATTCTGTAAAGCTGCCAGCCTCCATGCTGCATTCATAACACAGTTTCCAGTGATATCTGCAGCACAGGAGGCTTGCTTCACTTGCACGAATTCCTTTGACTCCCACAGCGGGTTCAACCTGTGCCAATGCTGGGAAAATAGTATGTATTGAAGTAGCTTAATAGTATTTACAAGGAGTATCTGAATTAGGGTTTTAGAGAGGATGTTAATTCAGTCATTTTTTTTTTTTTCTGAAGTAGGTTAAATTTCATTGTAGGATGTTTTGATTCTTTTTGTAATTCTGTATTTTAAGAAGCCATTACGTTTGGAGCATGTACACTTGCAAGGGACCTTGGCAAAGCTGAAGCCTTTTCAGTGGTCTCCCCAGTTTCTGCTTACTTAGCTAAGGTAATAGCAGAAGGTGGTGAATTGAGTTTTGGACAAGATTTTATTAAGTAGGTTGACACGCTTTCCATGTATCTTTCTTGTGCTTCCTGAAAACAGAAAATGATGATGTGAAATAGGTTTTGACTGCATGCATGCTTCCTCTTCCTTGGTCCACATACCATTTTAGTATCCAGAGGAGGGCTAAGAAGCATCAAAATATTTTCAAAATGCCACTTTGCAGTGCTGTGTCAAAAGAGGTCATTTAATGAAAAATCACATCATCTGCTTTTATGTGTTTTGCATTATCGATGCTGTAAAATTTTCTATTGCAGATTCGTGATTCCAACTGTAACTATGAGGCCTTTATGAATATTATTAAATTAAGTGATAATGTAGGAGAGTTGGAAGCAGTGAAAGATAAAGCAAGTGAAGAACTGCAATATCTTCGATCTCTAGATACAGCAGGAGATGGTTAGTACTGTATTGTTGTACAAAATATGAAATGCATTTGCCAGCATGATCTCTGAAGAACATTCAAAAAATTTGGAAGATACTTTGTCATTAAAAAAAAATAAATTGTTAAAACTTGAATCTTCGTATGTGTTGAAAAACAGGTTCTTTTTTCCCTTTTTTTTTTTTTTTAATATAGACTAATTGGTTAGATGTATACTTCCACTGAATTGAAACTTGCCTGACTGGTGGTTCCAAATTTCATTAATACTTTAGGTATTAGTGGGTAGTCAGTTACCAGTTGATCTGAAAAAGGAAGGAGAAAATATCTCTTGTTCAGTTTCATCAGTAAGATATTGAAACTGTAAAAAAAAACCCTTTTCTTTAAAGCTGTTGTTTTTTGTATGTGGTATGTCATTTTGTATACTTTTAGAGCATTTCAGAACAAGAGTTAATTTACTCATCTGCATTGCTTAATCTTGTTTGGTTTTACTTTCAGATATCAACACTATAAAAAATCAAATAAACAGTTTATTATATGTTATTAAAGTATGTGATTCAAGAATTCAGAGATTGCAGTCAGGAAAAGTAAGTATTTTAGAATTATTTTAGTTCTGAAAGAGTGAAGTTGCAACTTGTAGCTTTTTAATTCTTGTCTTTTGAAACACCACTTGAATTATGCATTAATCGACGGAAGTGAGTCTTGTATTTGCAGTTTGAGTATGGAAAAAATCTTTTGAAGGTTCACATGTTTAGAGTTTTTTGGATTCTGGCTTTAGCAGTTTAGGTATGTCAGTACATCTTAAAACTATTCTTACTTTCTCAGTTGTCGGCCAGCAACTACACTCCACACAGCCGCTCGCTCCTAAAGAGATCCCTGGGTTGAGATAAGCTCAATGTAATACTACTACTACTACTATTACTATATGAATATATACATACGTATAATGATAACAAGATGTACAAACAAGTGATACACAGTGTAATTGCACACCACCCCTTGACCAAGGCCTGTCCTGGACTGACGATCCCGAAACAGGTAAGTCCCGACACTGCAATCCTGGACGAAAGAGATCCCTGGGTTGAGATAAGCTCAATGTAATACTACTACTACTACTATTACTATATGAATATATACATACGTATAATGATAACAAGATGTACAAACAAGTGATACACAGTGTAATTGCACACCACCCCTTGACCAAGGCCTGTCCTGGACTGACGATCCCGAAACAGGTAAGTCCCGACACTGCAATCCTGGACGAGTGAGAGGCCTGAAAGGAGAATGAGAGAGAGCACTCTGAGAGTGAGAGCCCCAAAAGAGCGAAGGTCCTTTCCAGTTAGCTCTCATCTTTATACTGGGCATGACATAACATGAGACAGGCTAGTTCATTGGCCAGTTTGGCCCTCAATCTTAAGTCTTAAGTTCAAACCATAAGGGGAGTTGTAGACCCTTTGTCCCGGCCATGCTCCCCCCCAGCCTGTTGTGTTCCTGCACACTGGCAAAAACATGGCAGCTGAAAAGTCCTTGAAACCTCAGTGCGAACTACAAACATCAGCGTGCTGTCAACATTCTTCTCATAACAAATTCCAGGCTAAAACCAGAACACAGAGCTCTTCTAGCTGCTAAAAAGAACTAACTCTGTCCCAGCTGAAACCAGGACATCAACACAAGAGTTAAACCAAAGTATTACATAGATGAAAAGCATCTTTGCCTTTATACACCTAAATTCAGTTCTTTTTTGCTGCTTCAGTGCATACCTTGTGTGCCTCAGGCTTAGTCTTTGGGAGAGATCTGTTTCCTTGTTCATAAAGCTAACACTTGCTGATTATTTTGCAGTACCTTGTAGAGTCCATGTATTGCCTCTTGTCAGACATGTTTACCTCTTCAGTTCAATGAAAAGCCTAAGGCAAACTGGATGTTAAATTTGAGAACTTAATGTTGTTCTGTTTCCTTATTTTATATATTGTTTTATATTTTAAGACTGACTCAGTACATCAAGTAGTTTCTTTACTCTCTTAGTTGGACCTAGGTGTTGCTCCAAGATTACATTATCTTGTGCATATTGACCATTAAAGTGTTTAAGTATTCTACAGCTGGATCCATAAGCATTACTGTAATACCAAAAACATCTTTCAACAGAAGAAAGTTGAGCAGAGATGAATTTCAGTTGTGTTGGCCTGTACCAGAATTTCATCAAATTCTGAAATTAGTTAATCTTGTTAATTCATGCTGCTGTCTCTGTTCCTGAGGGATTTGGGGTTAATTTGACCTATGTCGTATTACACTAAAGGCAGTGTTGAAAGCCAGCTTCCCAGATAGCAGAAATCATCCATTTTGAAGGCAAATAGTTAGGAGAACATGAACCTTATGATCTTGAGCTTCACTTGGTAGTGATCGCGAAAATAACTGACCTTTGAGAGGCTGATTTATTATCTATAATGTAAATTACATTTTATGACGTCTACTTTGTGGTAAGCACAAATTTTGAAAGCTAATTTAAAAAAAAAAATCTGTGAACATGCTGAACTGTGTCTTACAGGAAATAGATACTGTGAAACTGGCAGCAAACTTTGGAAAACTTTGCACAGTCCCTCTGGACCATATTCTGGTAGACAATGTTGCACTACAGTTTTTTATGGGTAAGTGTTAATTTATCTGATTATTATTTTTTTTTATAATGAATATGCTAACTCACAAGACTGCATACTTGAAATTGCTAAATGTAGATGTCTGCTGAGGGCTAAATGTGTATAAGCCCTTTGGCAGAGGGAGCTAAAACCTTTTTTGCAAATCAGTCCGTAATTAACTGTTCAGAGCACTGTACTTAGTACTTCTGAAAGCTTGTATCAAGCTTGCTTCAATACTGATCTCTCTGTTAGACTGATCTCGCAATATTTCTTACTCTATCACTTCATAAGTTCATTCTGTTTAGAACAGAATGATTGCAAGAATAATTGGAATGACTCTGAACTTTTATCATAATCATTAGTCTTTTGCTAATCTCACTGAAGGTAATGACTATGGATGTTAGATTGAAGTTTAGAAGATTACAAGGCTACTGAAAGTTGTTTGTGAAGCTAAAATACAGCAGTAATTTGTGTACAATTTTAGGTTGATCATATAATCAGGTGTTAGATGGATTAAAGTATAATTAATCTTTAATACTTCCTAATGCTTGTCTTTTTTTCTGTGAATTAGTTGAGCTGCTGCTTATCATCATGAAGAATATCAATCAGTTTTGTTGGTGATGATAGTCCTTTTATTGCGGTAGATGCACGTGATTTGTTAGAATTTCAGTTTGAACTTCCTCTCAACTTGTATTGTGCTGTACAAGCCCGTTATATCTACACAATAATGATGGATTCACTTTTTACATGAGTATTTTAGGATTCAGTGCTTAGTTCCTAGACTTTGCTCCTGATTTTGTTTACTGATTATCATCAGTATGTATGTAGCATTTTTCATTTTTTGACTCTAGATGACAAATATTCCAGATATGTAACGAGATCCTGGAGTTCTATTTGTAGCTAACATAGAGAATTCTCATTCTAAGATGCACAACAGTAACTATGGTTATTTGGTGGCTGGTTTCTGTAGATTACATGCAGCAGACTGGTGGCCAAGCACATCTGTTTTTCTGGATGACAGTGGAAGGATACAGGGTTACGGCACAGCAACAGCTGGAGGTACTTCAAAGCCGGCAGAAAGATGGAAAACATCAGACTAATCAAACCAAGGGTCTATTAAGAGCAGCTGCATTTGGAGTTTATGAGCAATATTTATCAGAAAAGGTAGGAATAACTTCTTTCTGCATTGTTTGGAATTTTTTCTTTGTACAGATGCTTCTGTGGTAGTTATGGCTATGTTAATATGAAATTCGTGTGATGTAGCACAACTTGTTTTACAAGTTAAGATTTAAGCTGTTACTTATGTATCTTCTCTCTCTTTATGTCAAGCAGTAAGAAAAAGTCTTCCTCTTATCCCTTTTTCCCCCTCGCCATTTAAAAAAGGCTCGTACTGGCATTGACCGTGCTGTCAGATGCACTGAATGTGTTCCTCAGAAGCTGACTTTCTAGAATAGACAAAAACTAGAGAAAATGTGAAGACAGAATAAGAAATTCTGTCCCTTTGTGTATGCTGTGCTTTTCCTTCCTTTTACCCTGCCCTCACCTCTCGTTAAGAAGGAATGTTTTTAAAATAGCGCAACCCAATATTTGTACAAACTTGGATTAAAATTGAGTTTTCAAACGAAATAACTTTGTGCCTCTCTACAAATTGTCTCTATAAAGCACTCAAATATCACTGTTGGGTATCTTTCAATAGGCTAAGCTTGAATGCTTCCAGTAGTCTTGTAGTAATGGAGTCTGCTGTGAAAGAAAACACTTGTCAACTTGTGTTAACAACGCATCTTTGTTCCGAATCTATATATGCATAAAAATCACCTCTCAACTCATTCAAAAGCTTTCATCAACAAATTATCCCTCAAATATCTTTCAATGCTTCTCTTTCCGCATCATTTCTTTCACTTTGGTTTTTCACCTTGATAGTCTGTTAGTGTGGTGGTCTGATGGGTTTTTGAGCTGACTGAATGCTCACCAGTTTGAAGTCAGAAGCCACCTAACACCAGAGCTATTCCAAAGCCGATGAACTCAGCCTCTCAGCTATGCTGTCAAGTGAGCTATGTAGAGTTTGGTTCTGTGCTGGCTCCCTTTCTCTGTTGCAGAAAATGGAGAAAGCGTGTGAACTTGAGCCCATCTAAAAAAATGCTTAATGGGCAGTGGTTTGAAATATGTCATACCAAGGGATGACTGGGAATCTGACGGCTGATGTAGTTAGTATGCTGGTAACTGTAATTGAGTCTGCATAAAAAACTACCATGATTACAGCTACTGGTAATCTCTCCAGAAATTGGCAGAGTTAAACTGCTGGCCTTTCCTCAGATGCTTCAGGACTTCATCCATTTGCTTTCTTACTGGCTTTTTCTTAATTTCTGAATCTAGATCTTTCTATTCATAAATAAAGAAAATCTGGTTTTAAGACTGAGTAAATCTGTTTTCAGTATTGCTTCAAAATAACGTGCTTGAATCATTTTTGAGGTGATTCTGAGTATTTAATCCTGAAACTTCTGAGTTTTAATACAAACCCTGAACTTAATTGTAGGGGAGGAGGGAGTCTGACTGTTGTGTGTTCTAGACAGTTCTTGAAATACTCATCAAGAAGAAATTTATTTTACTTAAAGAATTGCAGAATTGTATTGGATTTTATTTGTGAAAATAAAAGCTTTTTTTATTTTTATGCTGCAAAAGTTGATTTAGGTCTCTCTGACAGGCATCTCCGAGAGTTAATATTGATGACAACTTAGTAGCAAAACTGGCAGAAACGCTGAACCATGAGGATCCAACACCTGAAATCTTTGATGACATTCAGAGAAAGGTATACTGTATTCATCTTGTATTTCATAAGAACTGTTAATGCTGTAGAGTATTAAACATCACTACAGCCATTGAAAAAAGAGGAAGGAACTCAAATGTCTGAAACCTAAAACCTATTTTACCATTTTCCTATTCTATAAAAATCATTCTTTAAATTGCCAACTTCTGCTTAGCCATACATAGCCCATGGTTTTCAAAGCAATAGACAGAAATATAAAATTTCTGTCCTGTATAAAATTCATTATGAAACACAACTTAGAATTATGGGATTATTTGTGTTTATGTATCAATTTAAGAAAAGTGCGTGTGTAGAATAACTAAGTGGTACAATTTTGGTCCAGTTTTAGCTTTTTCGAAGGTGAGCGTAAGCATGTTACCGTATTAAATTCTGTATCTCTTTCCAGAAGTCAAATTGACCATTCTGTTTCTGCAAGCCTGAACAATATAGCACTCAGAAGCAGCAAGTCCTGAAGATAAAAGTCTTTTTACTACCTGCATATATAGACTCTTACTTGAGTCTAATGCACATGTTTTAAAAAAAAATATTTTAAATTCTAGCAGTAAATTATATACACAGTCTGAGAGGTTTTTATTTTAGATCATTAACTAAATGTTCTCATTCATACTAAAAATTGCTGATATGAGCTGTAGAGCTTAGAATTACTCCACTATGCTTGAGGCCCACATTTAAGACTAATAAAAACACCTTGTGAAATCTGTATTGCCCAAAGTAGGTTACAAGGGTCTTGTGTGTGACTTCTGCAGAAGAGCATAAATTTCTCATGTGTTACAAAAGAAATTGACTTCTTCAGACCTGCCTGAAGACTTTTTTCATTCTTACCAGGTGATAGCACTTTGTACAAAGTGTTCAAAGAAAAAAGAAAATAATCATTAAAATATTCTAGAGTTGACATGAATATCCAAACATAAATTATTTCCCACTACATATAGGTACATACGTGTATATGTATATATACTCTGACTGTGTAAGCTATATAAATGGCTCTTTGAAGTGGTGTGGTTAATCTGTGTGCAGTAGGGTTATACTGTATTGGCTGAACTTGACATTTTCAAGAAAGTAGTGTGTAGTGTCTTCCCTCCCTTCCTTTCTCTCTTCTCACCTCTCCCCCTAAGTGCTCACAGGTCTACCTTTGTAGTTACCAACAAAGGAAGTCTCTGAGAGATAACCTGGTGTGAAATAGGTAAAGAAATATGTTTATAATGCAATTAGAAGGATTAAGAGGAAAAGAAGGAAACATTTACAGTTAACGTGCTACTTCCCTTCCTGTGCATGTCTCACTAGTTAGAAAAGTATTTTCTGACACTGTATTATACTTCTAGCACAATTAATTGTCATAACCTTTCCGTTAAGAGTAAGCGTGAATTGAAATTTCACAAGCTTGCATTAAGGTTTTAAAGGAAGCACAGTTTGAATAGAATGCACAGATACATGTTGATCAAGTAGAGTTTATGAAAGCTTGTCTGATTAGTTAAAAAATTTAATAAGTGTTTCTAAGATTGGCATCCTTATTTCAATAAGGTGTACGAATTGATGCTGCGAGATGAAAGATTCTACCCCTCGTTCAAACAGAATGTGTTGTATGTGCGTATGTTAGCTGAGCTGGATATGCTGAAGGATCCGAGTTTCAGAGGATCGGATGATGGTGAAGGAGGTGAGCTCTGTACCTGTAAGGGGAATTTCCTGGCACTGTTCTTTATTCTACTTTAAAATGAAAATAAGAAAATTATTCACACTGTTTTTGAGAAATCAAAAAGCTCCTGTACTATCTGTGATTTTTAAGTTAATGTTTCCTCCTTGTGCTTTTTTTGTAAATTGTTTTGGGAGTCAAATAATTTTTTCTATAGTAGCTTTATTAATCTCAGGTACTTCTTTGTCAAGT